TGGTATGTTAAATAATACTATACTCAGAAAATTCGTCTATAATGAAAAGGAATAGACAATTTTCTGGAATGTTTATAATTGCCAGACGTGTGTTTAGTTTTATAGGTATTTGTCTTCAGCTGACAGCTCATCATAACTTTCACATAAACGCACCATTGAATCTGCACAAAAGTACTGAAAAGCAGTCGTACTGTATACATAAATGTCGCCTATTTTCGAAGATTTTTGAATCAGTTTAGGCAATCACGAATTAATAAAACCGCCACTAATTTCCAGAGAAGTGCTATTTAGAGAGTGTGCAGCTGTACCTAGGAATCCTGTTATTGCTAGAAAGCTTTTGAATGCAGTTAACTTGTTGTTTTATTGTCCAAAGTCAAGCGAAACCAATGTTAATTTGAAATTATATACACCATGGACATATGTTGTAGTCGTCTATAAAGAGATAAAACATAAAAGCTGCTCTCAGCGCATCGAAGGAGATGTTCCTCGTCGCAATTGTTTGTACTGCAACATCCTACGAGATCAGAAGGAAAGCAAAACTGAACAGAAATTTGGCAAGGAAAATGCTCTTATCATAATATAAATTTTGATGACTACTGGATAGTCAAAAAGTGTTTTTTCAAGATTTATCAAGCAGATACACATTATTGTAAAAGAAACGCAAAATGTTTGTCGCTGACAGGACTCAAACCTTGACCGCACGTCTGCAAACCAAGATATTTACCACTGCACTACTCTAGCACTCATCTCGCGTTCACAAGTACCCTTTATTAAAGGTGGCCCCATGGAAATAAATGCCCATACGCAGATATGGAAGACAGGTTTGAGTTCCGTATACCCAATTTGTTATAATGGTATAGATCTTGTTTTGAATGGCCACTTCGAATAGAAAACATTCCCTTGTTAGTAATGGATAGATTGGAAGGTACAACTTTTGGCGGGATAAGTATAATTGCCTAATTTCGAAATCCAGAAACTACGACCTCCGCCCAAAAACTTTCGATAATATTATGTGTTTTCATGTCATGGTAAGCGTAGAATAACTCGCGAAACCAATCCTCTGTTCTATAATCCATCACCTACGAAGCTCATGAGAATGGCAGCCTGTTGCAATAAGCTTGACTGATATGCTTGAAAAAACTTCCGACATTTCTCATAAACCGTTGATTTTGTTCACCAGTTGCGAAGAGTGCGAGTGCAAGGTCTGCACAAGAGAGCTAGCAAAATTGCATTATTTTTTCTTCTGACGTTGACATTGAATGGGTGTATTATGTTAGTGACATCATAAATAAAAATGCTTGGATTTTAGTTCTTCTCTGATCATTTGGACACACTATTGTGAGGATATCAAATGAATAGCTCATCTTCCATCAAAACGGAATTGATTTCATTTCCTAAGA